TTATCAGTTCAATAAAATATGAAATTTTTCTAAAATTAAGCTATTTCTTACAGTGAAAATAGTGAGAAATTTTCTGTACATCGATCATTGTTTTATACTCTATTAAATTATGTTCATATACATATACATATATTATATATATTATCATTATATTATTACATTATATTATACATTATTATATATATTTTATTATTATATTATTATTACATATATTATCATTATATTATTATATATTATATATATTATCTCATTTTTATATTATTATATTATATATATTATTATTATATTATTATATTATTATTACATATATTATCATTATATTATTATATATTATATATATTATCTCATTATATTATTATATTATATATATTATTATTATATTATTATATTATTATTACATATATTATCATTATATTATTATATATTATATATATTATCTCATTATATTATTATATTATATATATTATTATTATATTATTATATTATTATTACATATATTATCACTATATTATTATATATTATATATATTATCTCATTATATTATTATATTATATATATTATTATTATATTATTATATTATTATTACATATATTATCACTATATTATTATATATTATATATATTATCTCATTATATTATTATATTATATATATTATNATCATATACATACATTAACTGTCTTTATTCAACGCTCTCCAGCATTCACATTTTTGTTTAAAATAATATTCTCGTCTCGTCTAGATTTATCAACATAGGCACGAGATATATCAATCATTACAAGTCTAGACGCGAGAACCTAAGATATAAAATTCCTTTCGGTAGACAATAATTATCTTGATATTAAATTCCAAGAAGATCGTGCCTTGATTTCACAAACAGTGGGAAAAGAACAGGAGAAGTTTCGGGGCAGGGTGTGACGTCCACCTATTGTAGATACCAATGCATACCATTCTTCTCGAACGAGCTTCGAAAGTTCGAAAGGTGTGGTGGGTCCCATTGTGTTTGAAATTATGCTAGGTTACACGGAACCCTCGCCCGTATGGTCTTTTTTTTCTTATTCCGTTTGACGGACGTTTGTGAACACTGTTATCGTTTATCATTCTAACGCGTATATCAACACGCGTGTCTCTATTTTAAATAAATACCGATTATAAATTCCTAGGAGGCCCCAAGCAAATAACGTACCTTTTTGGAAACTTGTCAGAGCATGTTACAGGTAAACTGTTCTGTCTAAAAGCATTTTTTTAATTTTACCTACAGAATAAATGTGAAATGATTTTTAACGTTGAGCGTTATGTTTCGCTCAAATATTATCATTTAACTAGATTAGGTGTTGAAAATAGTAGAATTACAAATTATCATTTAACTAGATTTGTAATTCTACTATTTTTAGCAGCTTTATGAACAGTCTGACTGCCGAGCGAGCAATCTGAAAAATTACCATGCGCGATCTTTGAACATAATAAGAATGACTTTAAGAGAAAGAAAAAAATTATTTAACATAATAATAAATTTCCATACATTGCGAAGGAGAACAAGTTTTAATTTTATTTTAGTTCGTTGCAATCGAGGTAGACGATTTTTATTTTGCATGAACGCTACATTTATTTTGCCTTTTCGATCTTCCTATAGTCTTCTACATAGTCTACTAGGAAGACTATAGTCTTCCTATAGTTTTGCCTTTTCGATCTTCCTTATGTATTGCAACACATAATAATC